TTAACAAAAAGTTTACAGTTATCGTACAACAACTTTTTATTCGTATGCAAATATGATATATTCAAAAATTAAATTGTTTTATAACCCGACATAAAACAATTAAAATATCAAAATCTCAAACTTGTTAAAATGTAACATAAATTTATTTGACAGATGGGGATGATGTTATCATATTTTATATTTAAGTTATTATATTCATAGACATGTCTGAGTAGTTATGTATTGTTGTTTCACACACACTCATTCCCTTAGCATGTAAATACAACAAGGATGTAAATATAGAGGATTCAGGTGAACGGAACGAGAGCTAACCCTGAACGAGAGCTAACCCTTCAGTCAGAGAAAGGATCCTTTGTCCCTCTAGTCTTCACAACCTCTGGAGGTATGGGACCCCTATGCACTGTATTTGTAGATCGTGTCTCTGAGATGATAGCTGACCATAAAAAAGAAGCCAAGAGCCAAGTCAAAAATCATATCAGAACACGATTCAGATTTGATCTGTTAAGAAGTACACTCATTGCACTAAGAGGAATCAGAGGAAGATCAACGGCCCAGCATCTTGAACTGCATGACATCTCCTTCAACCTCATCCCCCAGAAGACGAGCTTTGAGGTCTCCTAGATTTGTTTATGTAGATTTTGATATTTTACTGTACTATTTTATGTTGTATATAATTTTACGGACGAAATGATCCCAGGGGGGACTCCCAACCCACCGCTTCGGCGGGTAGTTGACGCACCTTTCACAAGCAAGAGCCACTTTGGTCTACTTGCTGTGAGGTGTCTCAGCTACATGGGTTGGGGGTCCCCCCTTTTTTTTTTTCTTTTTTTTTTTTTAAGGGCAGGTAGTGTAATGTTTAGCTTATTTTGGTTTCTATGTAGTAGTTTCAGTTTCTTTGTAGTAGTTCCTTTAGTCCTAGGTTTGTAGTTTTGGGGTTACTACTTTCTAACATACTTTCTTATATTTACAGGGTTGTTTTTAGTTCTAGTGAGTGTCTGCTGCTGTAAGAGTGAAAGCCAGACAAGTCAAGTTCCAGTGTGTGTGTGTGTCACGGGGACCACACAGAAGAACCTAAAGAGAAGATCTAGTGTTTGTGAGTAAGGGAATATCACAACACGTTCACATCACTTCTGGGGAAGTGATAGAAGAATTAGTTTCTAAGAAGTTAGAAGAAGTTAGAAGAAGTAGTTTATAAGAAGTTTGAACTGTTATTAAGAAGGATTTACAGTTTTGGGAAGATTTGTTTATAATCACATTACCACACCACTCACGAGGTTAAGTGAGTGAGAGTTGTGTTTGAGGTCTGTGTAGAGTGACGTGCAGTGATAGTGAGTGCAGCGTTAGTGTGCTAACCCATTACCAATTTGTTAACAATTCATTTACTAACCCATTTAACCAATTGTTACCAATTTAGTTACTAACCCAAATTACAACTTGCTTTACTTTGTCTCCCGTGATTGATCAGAATACACAATTTAACAGTGGTAGCAGGAAGTGGTTTCGATCCACCGACCTCTGGGTTATGGGCCCAGCACGCTTTCACTGCGCTCGTTTAAATTTTTCGAAGTAGCGCGCATCGCTTTCTTCTCAAAATATTAGCCTAATGCAAATGCTACGTTGCTTCAAAGTAGCGCGCAACTGGTTAATCCAGTAAAAATACAAAAATGTATTTAAAGTTACAATTTAAACCTGAAATTAATTTATGTTAGTACAAAACAATTTTTGCTTATAACTTGCAAAAGAAGCATTTAAAATTGGCTATTATATAGTTTGCTAGTTTTTTAATTGCTTTTCTCACCTGTGCAAGTAGCTAAATAGAAGAGAGCGCCGCGCAAAGTATAATCGGGATGAGGAAATGGTCGCGGTATAATAGTAAATCAAGAAAGGTATTGTGATGTGATAAGGCATGTAAGAACGAGGATAATATCTGTTATTGGAGTAAATTGTTTAACTTTATACTTGAGTACAAGTCAATTTGACTATTGGGACATATAATTTTACAAAGGATTACGTTTCGGTTCTAAATTATTTTAGGATTGTTGACATTTGTAAGATTGACATGTTTGATAATAATAATACGCTAAGATGAACACTTATTGTTCTACGTATGTGGGTACAAAGGAAAGAAGATGGAAGATGGACAGCAAACATGAGACCCTTCAATTCTATCAGAAGTCTCATACATGAACCTAACCCTTTTTTCTCAAATATCTCGCCAGGGGAACATTTTAACCCTATGTCATGGGGATGATTCGGAATCAGCGTCCTAAAATACATAATAATGGACCATTTCCGTTACAACCTATGTATTGTGCTCTGCCGATTGCATCACTTGATTTAATTGAATGTATATATTGTTTGAATGACCTTTAAGTCTTTTACTGGTACGTCAGTACGATGGCAGCCTCACTCTTAAAACTATGGCCTACAGGAAGGGAACTATCAAAAATCATACCACTATCAATAAACAATTCATGGCAGATCTCATTGTACCACCTAGAGCAACAAGAGACCTATAACACCAACCATGATGTTGGGACGGCACTTCACCGTCACAACTCCTGGAGCTGATAACACTGAGTATAAAATTCACTTCAAAACACCATCGCCAGTCTGTAGTCAGATCGTTAATAAATTTTAATTTAAAATTGGTTGCCGGGCAATGGTGTCAGTGAGAGACGTTAAGTTAGGTGAACATTGGTACAAAAATATAATAATATAGCAGTTTATCTTTAAGTTAAAATCACTATTTGTTAAAGTATACAAACAGTTCCATTCAAAAGAACAAAGTCCGAGAGCAGAGAGAAGATTTGGAGACTATACACGCATATGTGGGGTTTAAATTTGGTATTAGTAATTTTAGGGTTCGACCGAAAATGTTGGTCGGTTGGTTAATAGGGAGCAGTCACTGTCATTAGAATTATCAGATTAGGATCGGAGCAACAATTAGAATCAAATGGGACATAATGTGTATTGTGGCCCAGAAATCAGTGAAACCTAGAATGGCGGTAAAATGCTAGCGCGCCTTGTTGTGCGCGCTAACATACTTGCTGCTGAAAATAAAGAAGTGTATCCATAATAATGTCGTTTGGCGGCAGCGCCTGCCGATACCTGGATTATATTGTGTTTAACTTAAAATTCAGTGAAATTTTTTGTCATTCCATTCAGCACCATACCTTCCAGAGGAAGTGCTGGGATGTTTCTGCTTCTCCTGAAAAGTGTTCACAATCTTGCGTCTCGAAGTTGATGTTGTTCGCCACGTTCTGAAAGTAAACTAGTGGGCTGTGACTTATCCTGACAGCGGCCATGTTAGCCATCTGATGTGAGTTCCAGAAAAATTAAAGTTCCTGTATTTATATTTGTGGAGGAACATCTCAAGTGTGATTTTCCTTTGTCACTGAGTGTGGCCTGATTGGGAGGAAGGGTTCTGGTCCTATGGGGATGTTGTTGGATTGATCGTCCCTTGCGAATTGGTCCGCTAGTTCTTTACCGTATACTCCTTCATGTCCTGGAACATCTAAGTTCTATTCGATGTGAATACCTAGTGAGTTGAGTTGGTCTGAGATGTTCAGAACGAACCTGGAGTTAAAACTGGTGCTGTTAAGCGCTTTAAATGCAGCCTGGGAATCTGAGAGGAATTAATGATTGATGGGGATCCTAAGTTATCATTAGTCCAGATACTTGTCATGTGTAACGCAAATAGCGGGTACAATTTCCTCAATGAACCTGAAGAAGGATTGTCTGTCCTGTATCGTTACCATGTTACGTCGAGCTTACAAATTGAACCCAAAGTTTGAGTAATATGCATTCGTTAAAAGTTGTATACATCCTATTTGCATCCACGAAGCATTGCATTGTTGTTTATGCCTGGTCCCGTTAGCTTTGCGTCACAGAACTAAAGAGGTCCGCTATGCTTTATTGAGCTATGCTGTCCACCAGGGTACTGTAGATCTAAGGGTTCCCCCTGTAATAGGAAAGGCTGTGATAAAGCATCTCTGCAGGATGTCCGAGATGAACTGTTTTTAAGCGTTGAGATCTTCCGGTGTAGAAACTGATTAGAACCAGTAAGGGTGTCAGTCAAACTCTGCTGCTACTAGATGATTGTAGAGCGTCCAGTCACACTTCAATGAAGAATGTGGCAAAGCTAACCCGGTCCCCTAATCCTAGGTTAAATGTGATGTCCTCAAGATGAGCCCTTAGCTGTCTTGCTGAGAAGACCTGAAAAGTGGTTACTGGAGGAAGAAGTGCCAGGAATTCTCGCTATCAGTGTGTCCTCGTAGTCAGAGTGAGATAGTTGAAATCCCTCTGTCTTATCACGAGCCTGTGTCTAGCGTGTGTTAGCCCTTATGCATTAGCTGTCTTAACGGCGGAGGACATTTGGGGTATCGTATTTCAGCTTACCACAACCCAAATTTCACTGTTTTGACTGAATTGATCTTGAATGACCATCTTACAGGGTCACTGAGGATGGCACAAGACATGATCGAGGTACTCAAATTTCTATTCCCAAATAAAGCTTTGATAAACGGAAAATCATCAGAATATAAAAAGGGATTTTGGAAAATTTTTGAAGAGGAGCTTTGGCGGTTTTTAATGAAATTTCGACCAGTGACCAATTAGCCCTCTTTACAGGATCTTGAAATTTCTATTGGTGTGACATTCATATTTTTCAGACAGTTTGTCAAAGAGTGTAAACATGAAAGGTGAATCACGAAAATATGTTCCACATATTTCCTTAAAATATTTCTCCAGAATCTTATCTATACTATAAACACATATCATGACGCTTAGTACAGTAAAACTGTCACATAAAATAGCTCAGGATTTACACAATGTTTAGATGTTCCTACCTTGTGCTGACTTTAACTAACCTTGTGTTACGAATGTGCACTTGATAACCCGACCTTAAGTGTGTAATTTAAACAATAAACATCCAATATACCTACTTATTTCTTGATGAGTTTGTTTTCTGCCTAGACGTCTTGAAGTAACCTTAATAAAAATCCTTTCATCAAGTGTAATGAAGTTTTTATGAAGCAGCTGTGATAAACTATTAGGTGGAATGAGGCAACACTTGGCCCTGACATCTGTGAGTAAATTGAGATTATCAAATTTTCTATCATAATATGATTTTTAAAATACACGTCTTTTGAAACTACAAAAATTGCAGTACGTAAGCAAAGAGCTTAGATAGCACACTATATTATGTAAGCTAAGCATTAAGCAACCTCTACTATTAAATTTAGAAAGCTGCTGAGGCACTGTTTAATCTATCATTCCAACGTTTGGCACATGAACTCTGATCTTCAACAACTATCTAAGACTTCTCTATCGGCAATCACAGCCTCACACTGCATACTTATATAAAGCTATTTTATGAGATACATAATATATATAATAATATAGATTAACTTAACAGTTTACATTATTATTACCATGATCATGTGCTGAAGAATGATTTAACATTTAAAATTATTCCAGATAAGGTCGTCAAAGCGGCTGTGTCACTACAGGAACATTGGATGTAGAACCTTGACAACCTCCCGCCCCTTGTATGCTGATAAGACAGAGATAGTCAGTGGTACCCCAGAAGGAGTTATCACCCCTGAAGGAACTGTCAGTCTCAAGGACCTTGCAGATGTGGGCATCGACCAAGTTGCGCTGGAAGCTGGTTCAAGTTAGTATTTTTACATTTCCAGCACTTCTCAATTTCAAAATTTACAGCACCTTACTTATGTACCTAAACTATTTGCTGTTGTGTTCCCCGAGCTGGGAATATAGCACCAATCAATGTTTGAGGAAGAAAGTTTGAGATTCGTTTCAGAACAGTAAATCATTGGATATATTTATTTGCAGTGAGTTCTGATTGGTTTGTTGTTTTCTTGAAAAAAATGTGTTGTTTTCTTGAATTAGACGCCTTTATAAGATTACTACAATTTAATTAACGTTTCCTCAGACAGTGGACTGGCATTTATTGGAAATAATGTTTTGGGAGCGTTTGATTATATAAAAGGGTGGTTACCAAGTTTGGGAAAAGGTGAAGTGGTCTGGAACGATGTAGTGATCCCTAAATTAACTCATCTCTACATCCCATCCATATATGAAACTGTTCAGGTATGATACAAAAAATCAAAAGTCTATTATTTCTTTATTTGTTATTAAAGTTTGAAGTTTTGATATCTTACTTCATCCAATTGAGATCAATTTAGGACCAATTTGATAATACTCTCATAAAAATATTTGTTTCAGTATTATAGTGGAGCACAATGGTTTCTGGTGATTGGTCTCGGAACGTTGACCCTTAGGGCTTGTCTTCTTCCTTTGACTAGGTAATTGTTTTGTGAAAAATACAGGATAAATTCTGTATTTGGGATCAAATGTTTTAACAGATTCACACAGATACATGTAATGTACTGGTAATGTACTGGTAATGTACTGGTAATGTACTGGTAATGTACTGGTAATGTACTGGTAATGTACTGGTAATGTACTGGTAATGTACTGGTAATGCATGATGACTTTTATCAAACACACAGATCATCAAATTGTCATTTACCCCCAGACGTACGCTGAGGATAGCGCCGCTGTTAAGGGACCGCATACCAACATACCAGTCGTACGGTGACATGGCTAAAGTCCTGAAAAAGAATAATCAACAAGAGACAGTGAGTATTTTTACAGAATTAAGAAAGAAAGGTGTCAGAACATTTTATCTCTGAAATTTTTCTAACCACTTGTCAAGTTATTCTAAATGTATTCCTCTTCAGGAGTTCAAGTTGTTTCATGTTTCGATAATTACGCATCTATATTTTTATTATTTAGTCATGCTTAATACCCTTTTAAACAATTTAAATTACCCAGGCTAAAAAGGTTCTGAAATGGCAGCAAGAAATAGCAAAAAACATGAATGGCGGTTCCACGATGGTAGCATTTGTTGCTAACGGGCTAATCATGATGAGCATCAACAGAGGTCTACGTCATTTAGGTCATTTAACGGTTAGTTATAACGTTCAGATGATACATATCCTTTGAGTTGCTGCTACACTTGAAATGTATGTAGATAACAACGTTAGTTCCGATGAATTAGATCCCTCTGTATGCATCAATAGCAGCAAATCTGGGGAAATTTTGAAATACACCACTATGAAGCATTTAACCACCCCTTAAAAATCACAGAATATGAATTCTAGTAATCTGAATATTTACATAGGTTCAAAAATGTCATAGCTTTATGATAGTGCAACGAAAAAAATCTCAGAACATTTTGGTGCTGAGTTAGGTGGTTAAGTAGTCGATTTATATGACTGATTTGTTAGTGGACATTTTTTCATACCTCTAACACCCAAAGTCCCCAGTGGAATAAATTTTAAATATGACTAGGAATCCATTTTGGGAAGAAAAAAAGGCTACATGTTTTTCGGCCGCTTTGCGGCCGACTTGTCACTGGTCAGCTCTTCTCCCAGGTCAAGATTAGTTTGAAATGCTTAGCGTATCCATTAGAATAATTACCGGATGAATATGCAATTGCAAATTTTGAAATTAAATAAAAAATTTCTGAGAATTCTTTAATTTATTTGAAACGGAAGGAAATATTTTTTAAAAGAACTATACAGCCTAGCCCACAGATGCTCCCATACTTTTCTTCATACTAACTCGGAACATCGAGTTCTATGATTTAATTTACATCAGCATGATTAACGATTTGCTACTCTGAAAGTGGCTTCGACCTTGTGTCGATATTAATGGCCTGACTTTGGAGCTGAAGCTTGCTTCTGCCAGGTTAGATTCAATATTGGACAATTAACAATGATAAACTTCGGACTTAAAGCGGGATAGGGATGTATAATGGAGGGGGTTGTCTGCACTGTACTCTAGATGATCTAGGATGTGAAACTTGCTTAAGCCTAGAACACACGAGTTCCCCTGATATAGTAGCAATGGCTAGATTCACTTCCTTCCCACTTGCACTGTTGTTGACTAGTAGCTACAATATTAAATTGATTCGTGGAAATCGGTCTCGGATGTGAAGCTTCCTTAAGCGCCAAACCCTGAGAATACTGTATTACTCGAACTTCGAGAATTTTCTAAATGAATCTAGACTAAAGGAGCCAACTTGAATCCATAAAATTTTGAATGCTACATTTTAAAATACCGCTCTATATTTACACCGTTCACCAGTTAATATGGCTGGGAGGATTGGGAGGATTCATATTAGATTGTCGATTGTTTAAGATTAACTTGATATTTTAGCGTATCAGAGCTGAAATTTTGCATGACTATTTCAAATGACTATTTTACAGGGGGGGGGCTCATGTTTTTTTGTCCGTTTTTGTCCGTTTGGCAGCTATATTTTCAAAACGGACAAAAAATAAAGCGGACAAAAACGGACAAAAACGGACAAAAACGGACAAAAAATAACAAAAATTGAAATAACATTTAGATGCTTCCTCCTCCTCTTCCTCCTCCTCCTCCTCCTCCTCCTCCTCCTCCTCCTCCTCCTCCTCCTCCTCCTCCTCTTCCACCTTCTCCTCCTCCTCCTCCTCAGCCATCCTCCTCAGCCATCCTCCTCAGTCCTCCTCAGTCCTCCTCAGTCCTCCTCAGTCCTCCTCCTCTGCAGTCCTCATCATCCTCCTCAGTCCTCCTCCTCCTGGGTCCTCCTCCTCCTCTTCCTCCTCAGTCCTCAGTCCTTCTCCTCAGTCCTCCTCCTCATCCTTTTCGTCAGTACTCCTCCTCCTCAGTCCTCCCCCAGTCCCCCTCCTCCTCCTATTCAGTCCTCCTCCTCCTCCTCCTCAGTTCTCCTCCTTCTCATTCCTCCTTCTGAGTCCTCCTCATTCCTCCTTCTGAGTCCTCCTCTTTCTCCTGAGTCCTCCTCCTGGGTCCTCTTTCTCCTCCTCCTTCTCAGTCCTCCTCCTCCTCCCTCTCAGTCATCCTCCTCAGTCATCCTCCTCAGCCATCCTCCTCAGCCATCCTCTTCAGCGATCCTCCTCAGTACTCCTCAGTCCTCCTCCTTCTCAGTCCTCCTCAGTCATCCTTCTCCTCCTCCTCCTCCAGGGGGATCCTGTTTTTTATCCGTTTTTTTCGTTCGGAACCCTATATTATCAAAACGGACAAAAAATAGAGCGGACAAAAACAGACAAAAACGGACAAAAAATAACAAAAATGGAAATAATATTTAGATGCTTCCTCCTCCTCCTCAGTCTTCCTCAGTCATCCTCCTCCTCCTCCTGAGTCCTCCTCCTGGGTCCTCCTCCTCTTGGGTCCACCTCCTCTTCATCCTCCTCCTCTTCCTCCTCAGTCCTCAGTTCTCCTCCTCAGCTCAGTCCTCCTTCTCAGTCCTCCTCCTCATCCTTTTCCTCAGTCCTCCTCCTCAGTCCTGCCCAGTCCCCCTCCTCCTCCTATTCACTCCTCCTCCTCCTCCTCCTCCTCCTCCTCCTCCTCCTCCTCCTCAGTCCTCCTCCTCCTCAGTCCTCCTCCTTCTCAGTCCTCCTCCTCCTCCTCAGTCCTCCTCCTCAGTCATCCTCCTCAGTCCTTCTCCTCCTCAGTCCTTCTCCTCTTCCTCCTCCTCCTCAGTCTTCCTCATATTCCTTAGTCCTCCCCCAGTCACCCTCCTCCTCAGTCCTCCCCCAGTCACCCTCATCCTCATCCTCCTCATCAGTCCTCCTTCGCCTTCTCAGTCCTCCTCTTCAGTCCTCCTCCTCCTTTTCCTGGTTCCTCCTCCTCAGTCCGCATTCTCCTCCTCCTTCTCAGTCCTTTCCCCAGTCACACTCCTCCTCATCCTCCTCATCAGTCCTCATTCTCCTTAGTCCTCCTCCTCAGTCCTCCTCCTCCTCCTCCTGGGTTCTCCTCCTGGATCCCTCTTCTCCTCCTCAGTCCTTCTCCTCCTCCTCAGTTATCCTCCTCCTCCTCCTTCTCCTCCTGGGTCCTCCTCCTTCTGCTCACCAGTCCTCCTCCTCAGTCCTCCTCATCCTCTTCATCCACTTACTTCTCCTCCTCATCAGTCCTCATCAGTCCTCCTCCTCCCAAGTCATCCTCCTCCTCCTGGGGCCTTTTCCTGTGTCCTCCTCCTCCTGGGTCCTCCTCCTGGGTCATCCTCCTCTTCCTTCTCCTCAGTCCTTCTCCTCCTCAGTCCTTCTTCTCTTCCTCCTCCTCAGTCTTCCTCCTCCTCAATCCTTTCCCCAGTCACCCTCCTCCTCATCCTCATCCTCCTCATCAGTCCTCCTTCTCCTTCTCAGTCCTCCTTCTCAGTCCTCCTTCTCCTCTTCTTCCTGGTTCCTCCTCCTCCTCCTCAGTCCTCCTCCTCTTCCTCCTCCTCCTGGGTCCTCCTGATCCTCCTCAGTCTTCTTTCTCCTTCTACTCCTCAGTCCTCCTCCTCCTCAATCCTCCTCTTCCTCCTAAGTCCTCCCCTCCTCAGTCCTCCTAAGTCCTCCCATTCTCAGTCCTCCTCCTCATCAGTCCTCTTCACCAGTCCTCCTCCTCAGTCCTCCTTATCCTCATCCTTCATCTCCTTCCTTCATCTCCTTTCTCCTCCTCATCCTCCTCATACACCTCCTCCTCATCAGTCCTCCTCCTCACTGCTCACTCCTTCTCCTCCTCCTCGTCCTTAGTCCTCTTTATCAGTCCTCATCAGTCCTCATCGGTCCTCCTCCTCCCCAGTCCTCCTTTTGGGGCCTTTTCCTGGGTCCTCCTCCTCCTGGGTCCTCCTCCTCTTGGGTCCTCCTCCTCTTGGGTCCTCCTCCTCATCCTTCTCCTTAGTCCTCCTCCTCCTCAGTCCTCCTCTTGAGTCCTTCTTCTCCTCCTCCTCCTACTCATTCCTCCTCCTCAGTTCTCCTTCTCAGTCTCACTCCTCCTTCTCAGTCCTCCTCCTCCTCTTCTTCCTGGTTCCTCCTCTTGGTTCCTCCTTCTCCTCCTCAGTCCTCCTCCTCTTCCTCCTCTTCCTGGGTCCTCCTGATCCTCCTCAGTCTTCTTCCTCCTTCTACTCCTCAGTCCTCCTCCTGCTCAATCCTCCTCTTCCTCCACTCGTCAGTCCTCCTAAGTCCTCCCCTTCTCAGTCCTCCTCCATAACCACCAACTGTGATATATTAAAAGCGCGCGCTTGCGCGTACTTAACCACCTGGTATGGCACAGCATTGAAATATCACCATAATTTCAAAGGCAGAGGACACCATCCAGGTGCCCAAAACTTTTGGCTATGGTCCCAATACCATAAAACCTTAGATGTGGCCTCAATGTGGTTAAAACATGTTTATTTTGGACTTTCGGTCTACAGAAGCCATCACAAATTAACCATTATTCAGCAACCTCCGAACTTTTGGTGCCTTATTTTGTTTTGATTATATTTGATTATGAGAGATAGCTGGAGGATAATTAGTGATTTTAAAGATAATGCAACAGAATGTGTGGCCGTATGGCGGTTAAAACGACCAAAAACACTGATTTAGGTCAATTTTAGACCTTTATTAACCATGCTATTTTAACCACCATAGTGGCCACATAGAGGATTCATTAACCACAATTATTCAACATAACTGTACTGCAGTGTTTTGTGCACCAGAAAAACATCACTCCAACATTGAGATTAACCACAATAAGCTGCAATATCATGTTGAAGTCAACATACTCAAAATGTGTGAAAAAAGTCAATGTCCACCAAGTTTCCCCAGATTTGCTGCTATTATTGTTTGGTATTTAACTAATAAATTTGGGGTATTCAAAAATATAATTTGATCGAGTGGTATGCTGCAGGCTGCTTGATGCACCTTTGCTCTGTACGTTATGATATTCGTTATATAAACTACATGTTTCACTATTTCAGCCACTCTTGGATGGAGGATTTGGTCCTTTCCTAGACATGACAGTTAACAGTAATGCAAGTGTAGGCTTCTACTGTCTCCCCATCTGCATCGTCACCGCTTTAGGAACTATCATGCATGTAATAATGATTTAGGTTTTTCTTACTACAAAACTTTTTAGTGTCTTGCCTCTTGAACTTTGAAGCATTTAGTCATAAGGTCTACTTAATTGAACTGAAATTCATGTCTTGAAAATTAATATCATTATCATTCTCATTAACTTTTTTGTAGTATCTATAATTGGTTATCTATAATTCTATTAACAAAGTGTGTAATAGTTGATTTGCAAATCTCATAAGCTCTGATCAACTTTCAGGTGAATTTCAGACATGAGAAATGGTATAATCCTAGATTGTACTTGGTAATAACACCACTTGGAGGTATCTTTGCTTATTTCATAGGGAAGTCGTCTGTGGTAAGTTTCCCACTGTTGGTAATATTTCTGTTTGCTTGATATTTTTTCTTTTAACTTCTCTGGTGTACAATATACTTGTTTGAGTACAATAAATACTTTAAATTTCGTTATCAGATACTAGATATTTTCAGTTAGCCGTATAATCTTTGTCTTTTCAGGTAATGTGTCTACACTATGCCATATCATGTTGGTGTACAGCCATTTTAAATATTATACAACGTACAAACCACGATCTCCTAAAGCTTCCACCACCCTACAAACCTTCTCCTCCCCCCGAGAATATAAGACTGAGTAAGGAACTCCCCCGTCTTGAACCACTCGTTCCTATCACAATGGATGACATCACAGACAATAAAAAGTCAGACTTTGCTGCCGAAGATTTATCTGGAATATCGCCCAAAAGGTTTCAACGGCATGATGAAAAATCGGAACTAGAATTTTTGGAAGAACTCACTGGTAAAAAGTCTGAGGAAACTCCAAAAAGATCAATTGGTTATGAAACTCCTTATTCTCCGATATTCAAGTTGGGACAACACGATGAGGAGCCCGTTGTCGCTCAAGATAATCTTTCCGCGGGAGAAAATATTCCTCCTCCCCCTGCGCCGCCTGGAATCATGCAGAAAGCCGTCGGTTCGTAAACACACGATTATTATTTCATTACTGTGCAAGATACCCAAGAAACCAAGATGTTTCAAGGCTAGAACTGATAAAACTAGTTCTTTAAAGATATATAGAATATATATTAATTATTAGTTAGTTGCTGCAATCAAGCAGGAGCATTATATTTTAAACAAAGAGAAACACTCAAATTGACGGGCAAACGATCTGTTTCATGATATGTAGAAAACAATACCAATCCTCAATATATTATGTATCCAATTACTTATTAGATTGGATGTTATCTCAATGAAATAGGGGGAAATTATGGAGTACCATCTTCCATTTAATCAATATTTTTACAGGTTCAGCACCAAGTTTTAAGTTCAGAAAGAGGCTCCGAGCCTGGTATTTTAGGTGAGCTATCACAATCATATTCGCTACAATTTATTTGAATTAAGAGAGTTTGGTGTGCAATGACTTGAATGTGTCTGTAAGGGGAAAGTTTATCTTCATGCGTTTTTCTGAAAATCAACAAATTTATATTTTCAGGCAGAAGCTCATGAGACATGGAAAGAAAGGAAACATGAAATTATTCCTCGAGGATGCACCCCCAGAAATGAACTTCATCCAGGATTCTGTTCAGTTGACAACCAAGGTAAGATATTATACTAAGTACTAACTTAAATTACATATTACATTATGTAGTTCCGGGAATTTTCAGCTGTCAACAACCTAATCAGATAATGATTATCGACCGATAAAAACTTCAACCCTTCTCCAGTTCACGTAATTGATATACATATCATGTATTGTGCATTACACTTCAAAATCACAGGTTACTCCAGGACTGAAGAAGTATGTGTTAAGGAGACAATATCCAATGAATACATTAGAAGAGATGGAACGCAAAGTTTCTTATATTGAACGTGTGCAAAATCAGCGCTGGTGAACATTTCAAAGTCTCATAGGCTGTTTTAGGAGCGTCATTTTCCTCTCCTGTTGATTTTTAGATCAATTTAAAATTATTATCCAGTGCGGTTCAACGCACAAACGGTCTACTGTAAATTCTTTGCGCGGCGGCGAAGTTTTATTTCCAGTGTACGCACTATCCTTACCACTATAAAAAGTCACGTTTCCCCGGCCCCTTTCTTCCGACCTAATAATTTTGTAGCCGTTAAATTAACTGAGCTGGCCAGCGCTCTGCTCAGCTACATGATTTTATAGTTGATCATCATTCATGTGAGCAAAATTAAGGAACCTACAAAGCATGTTTTCGTGCTACTTGAACCTGGTCATACGAAAAAGATAATTTATGAAGGAGCAAAAATTGTACAATCAATGAAGTTCTCTCTTCGTGATTGTATTCGTTCTCTTCTTGCATTGGTCATTCTAGCTTTCAACTCTAATCACAATCTCCTGCTTATTGCTTGATATTTTAAGGCGGTATCGTGTTGCTATTAGGGTGTCCACTGTCTACTCGAATAGCGGATTACGAATTACTAAACACTCAATAACGCCTCTCTCCATGTGACCCTGGCCTTATGTTGTGGCAGTATTTCATATAAGGAATTCAAACGTTTAGTTTCATTATTTATATTGGTTTGAATTTAACTAAATCTACCGGAATTGTACTGTCTTGTGTTATAATTTATTATGAAATTTTGTTATTTTTCAGTAACGCCTATCATTCTTTAATCACAATCCAAGTGGAACATTTTCAGCAGTTGTGATATGTGTATTTGTAGGGGTTCCTTCGATCATCATGCATGACATAAGTATAAGGTTGTTCATCACGTCGCTAAACGCAAAAAAACAGTACTGAGTACCATAACTGTACTTTCCCATTCCTTACAATTTGAATTCTAACATTTTTTTCGTCATAACTAATGTTAAAAACCTTAAGAAATGGACACATTGAACTTTGAAAACCATGAGCTCGGAGATGTCAATGACGGCAAAGTGACTAGAGTAACAAGATGCCGTAGAGCCCCGCTAATTAACATCAGCAACAGCCAGCGGAACAACTTGGTTTCGAAGAAAGCTAAGAAATCAACAGTGAGTCCTGTATCAAAGAAATCCGATTCATCCAAAGACGACTCTTACCTTGGAGATGTTTTTGGCTACCTTGTTCGCTTAGAACAGTCCATAAACGTGTGTCCTCATTATATGGACAAGCAGCATGATCTGAAGCCTGTGATGAGATCTATTCTTGTTGACTGGATAATTCAAGCATGCACTAAGTTCAAATTAACCGATGAGACGCAGTACTATGCTATACAGTATATAGATCGTTTCTTGACGACAACGTTGATTGAAAGGTCGAATCTTCAGCTGGTTGGTATTGGTGCTATCTTTATTGCATGTAAATTCGAGGAGATATGTGTTCCCAGCATGAGTGATCTATGCTACATTACCGAAGACACTTACACCCCTAAGGTTAGCAGCGCTCCTTTAAAAACATGTTCTTGTGCATGAAAAACTTATCATAAAATTGAACATTGTAGATATGCATTAAAGATAAAGATAATTTTCAATACCACTCACGCATTTATATAATTATATAATTATTTTCAGGAGCTTGAAAGAATGGAGAGTAAGTTTCTTCTAGCGCTTGATTATGACCTGGGATACCCAACAACGATCCAGTTCCTTCGGTACATTGTGAAAGTGTTCTCTTGCTCCCGCCAGCAGTATTATTGTGGCAAGTTTCTTTGCGAACTTATGTCTGTAAGCTACCCCGCTCTTCAGTGGAAACCATCAGAAATTGCTGTGTCCTCTTTGGATATTCTTAACGAAATTAGCACTTTCGTTCCTGCTTTGAGACAGCTTCATAATCTTCAATTTAACGAGAGTTCGATTGCTGACTGCAAGCGTTTTATCAGAAAAACCATTCTGAATGACGAACTATCAGATTATGTCACTGTATTTACCAAATACGACAGCGTGTACAAAAAGCTTAAATCAGAATTAAAGTAGGATTTTTTATTCGTTATGATATATTTGTTGTAATTTTTATTTATTTGAGTGTGTATACATAAGTCATTGTAAGTCAATTTTAATGCTAAGTTTTTCAAGTAAACACATGATGATACGAAATTCATCCGGATCTGCTATTATTTCCAACAACAAAAATGCTCCTTATTTCGTATTATCATGTGAAAATGAGTCAAGAAAACGAAAGTTTTCATTATTTTTAACGAGATTCATTAATACGTGAGATAAATTTGTTTTTTTAGGTATTTTATGTCCGTGTGTTGTTTAGATGCGTTAAAACGTATCTAAATTTTTGAAAATGATTTTTTAACTTTTGATGCGTCATGACAGTTCTAAGATGAATTTGCGCTGTATTCCGGTCTGGACTCGGCGGCAAATATCTCAAGATATTCAGGAACGGATTTAGGTTAAAATTGTGTGTGTGTGTGTGTAAATATTCCCATAAATGAGATAACCTTGTAATTATTAATCAGTGCCTTGCAAATTTTGGATTTACTGTTTTGGGTCGGTGCTTTTGTCGACTTGGTTGTACAGTTATCAGTTAAAGTAAAAGTTTCTAGTTTGTGTTAACTCCATACAGAAAACATTATAATATAGTTTTAATCTATTTCTTTTAGAAAATCGTCGTTATAGTTCATGTGACCATGCGAGCATGAACTTGATGACGATTGTACTATAAGAACTCTTGCACTCAATCTTTGGAACGTTTTTAATACATTAAGTATTAAAAACGTTCGTGTATTTTTTATTTGTGTTATTCTTTTGTTAAATACTAACTCGTATAGAATGAGATAGGAGTTAAGTTTTAACCCTGCAAGCAGTTATTTTATTGTTGTATATTTTCTGTTCGTTTTTTGATAGCCCCTTTTCGTTTGAAACTAAAGTGTTTCAAATTCTTACCAATAAAGTTCAATCGAAAGAGCGACACAATCACTGAATTAATCTTTCAGTCTTGAATAAATCTAAACTACGATCTATGCATATGTACATAATTTATTTAACAAATACTCTCAATCAGTAACATTATTTTCAGAAGGAGAATCCTTGGTGAAGCGGTTTGGGATATTATTGGTCACGTTATATTGATATTTAATTAAAACATGACGTCGTAATGTTATTGAGCACAGGCTCACTCACCGAATTATCAAAATTCATGACTTACAGTACATAAATTTGATTGTTGATTTTCTGAAACAAACATTGTTGATTGAAGAATATTACAATAATCATTGACAATTAAGATAAATTAAAATGCTCTATAGAGGGAACATAGAGGGACGAGGGTCCGGTTGGGAGCTTCTTATTCATTAATTGTATTATAATAGCGCTGTCAGTTAAAGTTGGCCCGGATGTGATCACTGGAAATGGCATCTTGAAGTTTTTTATTTGGAATTTATCTCCTCCTTTCTCATCACCGGTGCCAACTCAAATTGATCACACTTTAAATATACTATTATTTCAGAAAGAGATTGTTCGTTTCCTGCCTTTCCTATTACAAACACACTCATAACTAGAACTCTTGATAGTCCAAATAAATCTAAAGGGATTAAACTCTGAGATGGCTAAGTTTTTTACGGCCTCTGAACTGGTCCTAAAGTTCGGATTGACATGCTCCCGATAGCAGTCCGACGTGCTGTGCTCTGACAGTTCAATGATGGTCCCGCCTGCTTGGGGTAAGACACAGGGATCTTTGTTCCCCCCTAAACTGTTGTTTCTCTTTCCGTTGAAGTATTTCTTTAGTTCGGAGTTCTGTCTGCTGACACTCTGGTTTGAGCTCATAGTGGACGACCTGTCGGGGCTTTAAATTTGATATTTTAGTGACAATAGTTTTCAGGAAAAAATGTATTTGTCATTCGGGGTTATTTAATTTTTTAACAATTTTGATAACCTCAGTATATATGTAGAGTTAAACCCCGATTTACCGCAGAATTTTGAGTATAGAAGTCAACTGAGGTAAACAGGGGTTGGCGGTAAGTCAGGGTTTTACTGTATTTACAAAATCTTACTATATATAAAGCGAGACGATATATGTTTATCCGTGCCATTTTACTGACACCACGGCATCAACTTTAACGCTACTTTCCGCAAAAACCGTAAAAGATATACAACTGAAACTTTTTTGACTGGGCCAAATGCTTTAATAGCCTCAAAATCAGCATTTGAACATTTTTTGAACATTTTGAACATTTAAAATATAATTTGGAACATTACAGTAACGTTATTCAAATCTCAAACAGAAAAAAGTATATTTCAAAGCTTTGTGTTTTGATCATATGATTATGGGTGTATAGTGATAGCATGAAAAAATAAAAAATTGGCCAAGAAATAAAAGTTTTAGAGCCCCAAATTTGGACCCCCAAGTGGTGTCAAAAACGCGAATTAAATAGATGATAATTATTTTAGTCTCTTGAGTTTTGACACCATTGCATGGTTATACGGGTTCCTGCTAGTGTATCTAAATGATGCTTATATTTTAAAATCAAGACGTAAAAACGGCAAATCAAGGTCCGAAACAATTAAAAATAGTCTCAGTTATTTTGAACTAAACTTACCCGAGAGAAATAGAGGAGTTATTACTCTGACTGAGATCTCGTTTCCTCAGGAGCATGGTACCGTTACAAGAGTTGGTGCTGTATGCCAGACTCTCCCGCCGGTAGTTCATCTGTCTAAAGGATCTGTCTGATCTACAGGACAGGATATTCCTGAATGTCTGCGGAGGTAAGGTGTCAGTGGGAGGGGTATGGGCAGTTTGGGTGAAGTTCATTCAGGGGAGATAATTTAATAATAGGTATCGGCCCAACAACTTTACTAGAGTTTATTCGCTTTTGGCTTAGTGGAAAAAAGTATAGTAGAAATATTTATAGTCGATAAGATGAAATATTGTGTGTTACCTTACGGAACTCCTTGTTCATGATCCCATAGATAATAGGGTTACAGAAGGAGTTACACATGACCAAGTAGACTACTATCAGAGCTGCATCTTTTGGTATTCCGTGGACCTGATAAATGTGTGAATTGAAGTGGAGATTATTGTTTACGATTATCTTAACATTAAGTTAGTTACATTCGTTTAATCTTAATTCAAGTTTGTATATATTGCGGATTGCCATGGCAAATGATTTTTGTAAACCGCAGAAGCAGACGAGAACTTCTCCTTATTAACAATGTTTAACCAATGAAAATATATTGAATATTATATTTATAGACATAATTAGAGGATATTCTGGGATTTGTCATCACATCTATAAATAAAATAAATAATCCAATAGTCGAGTAGTCTGGCCTAATTCAGTAGAATACAGTATTGGTATAAACAATACTCACACTAAAATCATTATCACCCTAAGTGTTTATATACTACCTGTACTCACATTAAAAACTACTTGTAGAGTAGCGAATATCATGACCGGGAGGACGAAAACTAGGTACACTCCGATAATGACAGCTATCATCAGACCAGCCTTGTAGTTCTTGATACCCTTCCATGCCCCTCCCTGTTTTATTACATTCGGGTCGTTGGCGTTAACCTGGGCACGGAACTTGGCGTTAACCTGAGTACAAGGAAATTCAATAATGGTAAAAGATTATAGCAGTATATTTATCATTTGAAAATTCAATATAGTCGGTCAAGCAATATTATATATTTGGTAGCTGTAGGCTCTAACTTTAAATTATGCTATTTTAATGAAACAATCTTTAGTGTTAATTGAAGCTTGAAAAGAGGTATTTCCATGTTAAAATTAGTAAGCCACATTACAATCCTAATTCCTGTGACTCTATGACTAAGGCATGTCAGTACTGAGCGAGGCTGTTCCTAGATGTCATAGCGCTAGAATGCTGTCAGAAGTCCGGCTATACATTTAACTATGTAGCGTGCCTACAATTTGGAGGCAGCTGTGAAGAACAGGTTTGTTCTAGAAGGTTTATTCAAACAGGCGTGGCAGATGCATTGGTTATCTATCTTATGGAATAAACCATCTCTTAGATCGCTTATCGATTTTGCCAAGTATGGACTGTGGAACTATCCAATAATTTCAATGGCTAGAGCAGTGAAATATCGTAACTGTAACTTTATAAAGGTTTCGCAGTTTATCGATAAATTTCATCATATATGCGACAAGAGAAACGTCATCTTAGGACGCGAGGAGAGTGAATATGATACCCATTGCTCCTTCATAAATAATAATCCCATACTAATTATATAAATAATTTCTTACCTCTCTGGCAGTCTGAAGGATGAAGTAGTAGCAAGTTATCATGATGGAGAGAGGTGGAATAAAGGTAAAGATAATGTAGGACGAGAAGTAGATCTTGAAATTTTGTAAAGGTTCCGTGTTAGTTACTGTTAGGGCGCAGGTTCTGGAGAATTCTGATAGTCTGAGTGCGGGAAGTGGCTGTGAGAATATGACTTAATATTGGGGTTAAGTCACATAAAAGTGATAATTTAGCCATTGAATTGCTAAATTATTGAAACATTTTGTATATGAATCAGTAACAAAAATTCAACGGGTGAAGATTCCCATGATAAATAATAATATAATGATGAATAATGTAACACCAGTTCTGATAATTTGAGTTTCTAACGGAATCAAATTTTGTAACGACTAAAAATAATCTCCAGTGCCCGGCTGTAAATTGTGAGGATGTTGCCAAATCTCACCTGATATCGCTTAAAAAGTTATCTTTTCAGGGGTTTTTCAAGGGATGGGCATCGAAAGATCGACAGAAACTAAATATTGCCCAAAATAGATCATCCTAGTTAATTTTTTTAAATAGCCACTTGAACTTTTTAGACTGAACACACACACTTCAACAATCTCATCTAACCTCTAACTAAGCTGTTCCCTCTTAAACTTATCAAATTTCGCCGGTACTAGCCGTATCTTATGTTGCCATGGGGTGGAAAGTCCCCATACATCGTAGTCCGATAGTTTCACTGTGTCATACTATACGAACTTAATAAATCTCACCTAAACTTGTCGTATCTTATCTGAACTTACCAAATTTCGCCTGAACTTGCCGTATTTTATCTGAACTTAACAAATCTAATATGAACTTGCCGTATCTTATCTGAACTTAACAAATCTAACCTGAACTTGCCGTATCTTATCTGAACTTATCAAATCTAACCTGAACTTACCGTATCTTATCTGAACTTAACAAATCTAACCGGAACTTACCGTATCTTATCTGAACTTAACAAATCTAACCTGAACTTGCCGTATCTTATCTGAACTTATCAAATCTAACCTGAACTTACCGTATCTTATCTGAACTTAACAAATCTAACCTGAACTTGCCGTATCTTATCTGAACTTAACAAATCTAACCTGAACTTGCCGTATCTTATCTGAACTTAACAAATCTAACTTGCCGTATCTTATCTGAACTTACCAAATTTCGCCTGAACTTGCCGTATCTTATCTGAACTTAACAAATCTAACCTGAACTTGCCGTATCTTATCTGAACTTAACAAATCTAACCTGAACTTACCGTATCTTATCTGAACTTAACAAATCTAACCTGAACTTACCGTATCTTATCTGAACTTAACAAATCTAACCTGAACTTGCCGTATCTTATCTGAACTTATCAAATCTAACCTGAACTTGCCGATACCACAGAATGGTGGCAGTGACAGCGACATGGAGTAGATCCACGTGGCACACAAGATAAGCAGGGTACGCTTGCCAGTCATACACCGTTTGTAGAAGAGAGGTCGGGTTATCACCAGGTACCTGTCGTAGCTACAAGCTGCTAACGTCACCAAACTGTTCGTCAGGATGACGTTGTCTATGTAGCCAGACATTTCGCATAGCAGCGCCTTATAGGGTGAAATGTTAGGTATCTCAAATATTCAGGATACTCATTGTTTTCAACCACCCCGGAAATTGTGCTAAATTCCTTTGAGAATTTAAAGCCGCTTTCTTCACTTCAGCCCTTAAATTGTCGGCGTGCACTCTTTAAATTAAATGTCGGCGTGCACTCTTTAAATTACTACAACTCAACAATCGCTTTTGTATTAAAAACACAGCGTTTGTATCTTACCGACATCCATGATTTGCAGAGAACCAGGTTAGCGATAGTGTTAGGAAAAGTCCAGCACCCCATAACCAGGTCACTTAGTGCCAGTGAGATCAAGAAGTAGTTACCAAAGGAACGGAGACTCCGGTTTCGAAAGAAGGCCAGCAGCACCTGCAAATTATGTTTAATTAACATTACCAGTCCTTACTTCCTTAGGTGTTTAGAGATTATTAGGAGATTTTGGGTATAATTTATGATTAGAGTAATTATTGCGATTACGTAAATGTAATTATTAGCAGTCACAATCGGATCATCAGTCATTTTAATTTTTATCAATTTAGTATCAGTCACTTATTAGCAGACTGCTTTAAAACCGGAACACCTGATTAATATTTAATAACACGTTCTTATATCAGTGCAGTGACATAGCAGCTCTCAATCTAAACTTAAAACCTATCACTACAACTCCAATTACTACAAGTACAACTCCAATTACTACGCCTCCAATTACTACACCTCCAATTACTACACCTCCAATCACTACACCTCCGATTACTACACCTCCAATTACTACACCTCCAAGTACGTACCATGGTGTTTCCGAAGACAGTAAGGACACACACGGAGGACAGGATGGTGATAGCCACCATCCTCCCCGCGTAATCCTCTCCACATATACCCTCTGATCCTGCCATTACACCTGTTACATCACGCTGTTAATAATATTAATAATATGCTTAATTAGCGGCAGGTTATTTAGAAAAATTAAATGTTCAGCACTTGGAAAAATTGTAAGTTAAGAATAAAAGCTAACAGTAACAGTAACAGCAAGTAAAGACTAAAGATACTTCGACGAAATGTTTTTTTTTGGCAGATTGTCGAATATTGGAAAAGTTAGTTGTAAGCGACTCTTAAAAATCCAAATGGCAAGAACAACTTTCTGAAAATACCGGCTTGTTAAGATTTAAAGATTCTGTACTTATGGGTCTTCATCGCCTAAATATGAATAGTAGCCTACGCCTTTCTTTCAAAAGTCAGATACAGTTTGAAGTTATCGGAGAAAAATTTATCGGAGAAAACCATCAGTACGCTTAACACAAAAATTAAAACAAAGCCAGAAAACGATTAAACTGCATTTAACTTAATTATAACGACAGGTTTCTCAGCGTAGTTGAGCAGTTTGATGCCAAACAGAATAAGCTCATAAGCTGATACAACTTAACTTAACTAATGCTTTTAATATATGTAGTAATAGCCTATTCTCCATAAATTATAAATATTGTTGCCAGGACAAAAATCATAAGGTAAATACGGTAAATACCAACAGTAATAAATATAATACTGCAGACACTCGTGATTAATTAAAGTATAATTAATTAAAGTAGGATCAATATGGGCATTTAATTAATAATAATAGTAAATCGAGTACACCTGTTCGAACAGCAACTCCAAAACCCAACGCATGTGTTGCACGCCGTAACGGCGAGCATGAATTCGGAGGAGTGTATTTAATGCAATTAAAGAACAACATTCCAACCCAAAATAATTCCCTCTAACGATAAAGTAACTCCCAAACGCTATCTATACGTCTGCAGCTGTCAAAATGGACATAATAACAGCCAAATGATTTATTTATAGAGTTTGTTGAGTACATGACTTATAATAAATATTTAATAAGTGTCAAAAATGAAGAGCAACAATAGATGATAACGGCAAAATGATAGATTGACTATTTATAAAGTCACAAAGCACATTCACGGTATCGAATGAGAATGTCTCAAAAGGATCGCAACAAGCGTCAAATAGAAGAGCAACAAAATATTATAACGGAAAAATAATAGATTAAAGTATTTATAGAGTAGCACGTACTATTAATCAAGAATAGCTGAAAATTATCTAAAGAATCTTAAAATCACAGTTACTCCATTCCTAGCGTGTCTGCCTTAGTGGGCACAATACGTGTCTAGAATAGTTGCGTTTATCACATTTCGTAAAACAGAGGTCACATTATAATAAGATAATAGAGGTGCAGTAGAAAGATGAGTCAGTTAATATAAGCCCATTAGAGGCTCACTACCTGCAAAAAGTCTCATACTTATCAGACTCGTAGAAAGGGTTATTCTATAGAGAAAGACGGGTAAAAGTTGTATGGCTTTATCATTATGGGCTTTACCCAGGGGTTCACGCACATTTTCGTCCTCCGGCGCAATTTTATCGTTACAGCTTTTGAAAGTCCTGGTGACTTATGGATGGGGTAAGGCTGAGCTGAATCTGCACATGAATACAGTAGCTACGAATCAACATATTGCCTGAAGGCTTGAACCGTTTTATTTTGAAATTGGATAAAAAATCGCAAAAAAACTGTTTAAGGCGTGCCACTGAGCCCCCCACTGTTGCTAACTTTAGTATGATAAAAACCTGCCAAAAGGCTTAAAAAATAACACTTAACATTTTTACAAAAGCTATTGATAAACATATATAATATGCATTTGCAACATATATCCTAAAATGCTTACTTTTCACCAATCCAATATTCTGCTCGTTAACATATTTTCGTTGGTTTTAAGTTAAGGGTAAAATCCACGCGTTGGCGTGTAGGTCACTCATCAAGCTGCACTGCATCACATACACATTAGCATGGTGAGTACAGTCAGTCGGGGGGGGGGGGGGGGGGGGGGCAATCGGGCTTAATGAGTGCCCAGCTGCAGTAGGGAATGTGATAGATGGACTACTAGTGTTTGTGAATTATGTCATGTTTCCGATTAAATAGGCTTTTAAAGACATTTAAAGTTACTGAGCCCGTGAAATTTTGGGGCGGGGGGATGGGTGATCCCATGCCTTTTCATTCTCAATTTTGGTAAAATTGGCAATATTTTGGCATGGGCTTAAAAACAGCTAAAACTTGATTTATGATGAAAATGGACATTGCCATCGTGTTCGCTGACCTCTTATTAGTGAATAGAGTCAAATTTCAACTTAATGAAGTATGATTTCAGGAATATTTGATTTGATTTGATTTGATTAAATTACAAAATAGCAAATTTACAAATTTTCATCAAATCGAACAAACTTATTTGCTAAAAAGAGTAGGTCAGTAATACAAGTACAGAGGATAAGTAAAACATTCAAAACAGGAGTTTTATGGCCGATTTTGACTGAAAAATTATGCCCATGGATGGAAAATGATGCTCATTTTGCCCATTTATTCCTCAACTTTTGATCTAATGTGCATTGCAATGGGGCTGTCCCCTATTGTAAGGTAATCCATTAACGATCTGCTGAAGTTGAATCCTTCTCTCACGCAGCGTTTTAATATCCAAAAACAGCACAGTCATACCTTAGGTACACCTTAGTTACACCTCAATTAGACCTGAATGAAGTTTTGGGCACAGTTAATTTGGCCTAAAACTAACTCATAAAAGAAGGGCCTGCATTTATTATAGGGGCCTAATTGCATTTATATTTTGGAGTTTGTGGATCACTTTTACAGCCCAAACATATTTTGCTCCACATATGGAGCATAATTGCTATAAAATTACTGTTCGATAAAAATTTTTAGATTTAATAAATTTTCGAACAGATTCAGTCAAATCAAGAAAACAATTAAATGTGGCGGCTACTGCTGTAGAATGTTTGCAACACGAAGCTAGCCGAATATGAAATAATAGAATCTGAGTTGAGAATACAGAGGCAGCGTTATTGGTCGCCAGGTGTTGTCCTCTTTAGCTCCAGTTACTACCTCTCAAATACCGCACCACTCAATCATTCTCACTGTAAACAAAGAGTGTGCTGACTGTGCTACCATGCTGCCGGAATTACACAGCTACTGGTTTGTTTATAAGTTTAAAGTTTAAAGGTCCAGTAAAGCCGCAGATACTCCTGAGGTATTACTTTTGTAATATATATTGTAATGTATATTGTCAGTAACTTTTTAGTTTATTGGCAGTTAGGAATATTAGAAATCATTCCATGATATATATTCATGATTCAACTAATGTAATCTGTAAATAATAGGGGTGTCCACGTCCCACGAAAGATTAAAACAGTTCGACTCTAAAACACACGTACTGCTTAAACGAGTATATAACTAATCTAATGAGAGAATAAGTTCAGACAGTAGTATCATGTTAGTTTCTAACAAGTCACCTTTAGTCGTCTCAGTAGATTGGTTTGCATGATGCAGGTCCTGCAGGTCATTCTCGAGAAAGAGAAACGAACTTGTGTTATAACGAACATTCGTATATAAGCGAACATTCGCGAACAACTGTCTCTGTGAATTGTATTTACTACTTATACTTATAGCTACTATATAACTATTAGTATTACTCACAATAACTCACAACGATTCAAGCATGCATGAGCAAAATAATAGAACTCAAGTAACGACGCAACAACATTAGTCAACCGAAACGTGCTCAGTGCTCACTAGTGAAACCCCAGCCTTTCTGAGACTTTGCACCGGTGCTGGCAGCGCGCGGTCTGAAATTACAAGTCACAAGGTGATTGAAAATAAAGCAGGTGCGCCAGCTGGCAGTATTTATGTTCCGAGTTTCTTTATGAAGGAGCTGTAAAGTTTACAATTCTACCGTGAACTTTGGTCGTTAGTAGGAATATGGCTCAAAGTGCTAGGATGGTCATGAAAACTACAGATGGTCACGATCTTATTATTCGGGTAGTAAACTATGTATGTAAGGATGAGACTTTAAATATACTGTCTATAGGTACAATGCTTTATTCTCAAAATACGTAATTCTCAGAAATGATTAAAATAGTGAAATTTGTAGGTAAATAGCCGGCTGCCGGACAGTTGCGCCCAATCTAGATCAAGCTACCATGGGAAGATGACGAATTAGATCATGTCATTGATTGTTAATGGCCTGTTAATGTGTGGGAAATGGCGCAAGATTTCTAATCTTTTCAGTCGTCCAGCTGCTCACTATTTTACTGTCAAACTTCATAAAAAGTTAAATAGAGATTACCTCACTGAAAGTAACATCTTTAAGAAACAGTGTGTTTTAAATTAAATAAATGTTTATAAAACGATTCTCCTATAAAAACCGATCATTCGACATTCGTAATCTCACGTACAAACTTCTTAGATCTATCTCTCATTAAAATTGATCATTTAACATCAATCAGGCCGAAAAATGAAAACTACTCAAGAACCTGGCAGTTTGGTTGATTTATCTGCGCCTAGCTGACTGTGTCGTGTACTAACACCCGCCTGTTTTCAGTAATGACAGAAATTAAGTTAGAGTGAACTGACATTTCCTCTGCTAATATATTTGACGGACTGCCTGTTCGGGTTCCCCTAGTGTAATCGCAGGTAAATTCATAAATACATGGACCATATTATGGTTATTATAAGGGAAAGTTTATGCTTTGACAGATGGCACGCGTTACTTCTTGAGTCAAATTCAAAATTTACTCCGCGAATCCAGCTATCAAAGTAAATTTGTCCGACATTTTGCACAAATAATAGATGTGGATACTGGCGGGGAGGTGATAATTGTTTGTTTACATTAATAGTGAGCACATGTTAAGCAGGCTGAGGAGGTGATAATTGTTTGTTTACATTTTAGGTCGAGCACATGTTAAGCAGGCTGATGAGGTGATACATATTTTGTATTATAGAAGGCTTGTAACACTTGTAACGCCCTCTTGTTACCCCCCTTTGAGGGCCCCGAATTATTTTCTGAACGAAAGCTG